TTGCCCGAGCGGTGTGTTTGGGATCATTGTCATGCTGGAAGACCCAGCCACGTTCCATCTTCAAGGCTCTCACTGATGGAAGGAGGTTTTGGCTTAAAATCTCACGATACATGGCCCCGTTCATTCTTCCCTTAACACGGATCAGTTTTCCTGCCCCCTTTGCAGAAAAACAGCCCCAAAGCATGATGTTTCCTCCCCCATGCTTCACAGTAGGTATGGTGTTCTTGGGATGCAACTCTGCATTCTTCTTCCTCCAAACACGACGAGTTTTTACCAGAAAGTTCTATTTTGGTTTCATCTGACCACATGATATTCTCCCAATCCTATTCTGGATCATCCATATGCTCTCTGGCAAACTTCAGACGGGCCTGGACATGTACTGGCTTAAGCGGGGGACACGCCTGGCACTGCAGGATTTCTCAGCATAGTGTGTTACTGATAGTAGCCTTTGTTACTTTGATCCCAGCTCTCTGCAGGTCATTCATCAGGTCCCTCCATGTAGTTCTGGGATTTTTGCTCACCGTTCTCATGATCATTTTGACCCCACGGGATGAGATCTTGCATGGAGCCCCAGATCGAGGGAGATTATCAACGGTCTTGTATGTCTTCCATTTTCTTACAATTGCTCCCACAGTTGACACTAAACTGCTTGCCTATTGTAGATTCACTCTTCCCAGCCTGGTGCAGGTCTACAATTTTCTTCCTGGTGTCCTTCGACAGCTCTTTGGTCTTAGACATGGTTGAGTTTGGAGTCTAACTGTTTGAGGCTGTGGACAGGTGTCTTTTATACAGATAACAAGTTCAAACAGGTGCCATTAATACAGGTAACGAGTGGAGGACAGAAGAGCTTCTTAAAGAAGAAGTTACAGGTCTGTAAGAGCCAGAAATCTTGCTTGTTTGTGGGTGACCAAATACTTATTTTCCACCATAATTTACAAATAAATTCTTTAAAAATCCTACAATGTGATTTCCTGGATTTTCTTTTCTCATTTTGTCTCTCATAGTTGAAGTGTACCTATGATGAAAATTACAGACCTCTCTCATCTTTCTAAGTAGGAGAACTTGCACAATCAGTGGCTGACTAAATACTTTTTGGCCCCACTGTATATTTATACTGATTAAAGGAGGAGGAAAAGTGTAAAGCTACATTTCTTTTTACATTTTGTTTTAATTATCTAACCTGTGTTTTGAGTTATGTTTTTTAACTTTTAACGTCTGATAACTTTTAACTACATTTTGTCAGTTAGGCATTTGATACCTCCATTCCAGAATGCAATGCAGCAATTGAAAATAAGTTAGTTGATGTCTGCTATGAAAAACATATATTTGGCTTTAGTTTAACTCCACATCCTACATAATGGCATTGTAAAGACACATTTCACTTGTTGCAAGAGTTGTTTGAGGACTTGACCTTCCACAAAAGGTAGGTGAAAAGAACTGAGCTGATTTTTCTGTCCCTAAATTTCACATGGGTGTTGGATCCCCTTTGCCACTGCTTTGAGTTTATAGGAACTAATAAAAATCCATTTGAATAATGCCTCCAGCACTAGCAGCTAATAATAATTACAACAACATAACCCCATTTAGTTATATCAAAAAAATTCCAGAGGAGATTGGATAGTTCATATCCATCACTCAGCTGTAAGCCTGTTTGTCAAAACAATGTGGTTATTTGCTAAAGGAGATTAATTCTGAGAAGTCATAGAGTAGATGTTTTGGGTTCAGATCAAATGTTAAAAATTACACTGTGCAGTGAGAGCAATGTGAGACCTGTGTCAAAGGCCTTTCAAAGATAAATATAGGGAAAGAGCTATAAACTCTGTCTTCAGGCTGATCCAGGAGGATCTGTGAGCCAGCTCCACAGTGGACACTTGGGCCAACAAAACAAATCAAAACACAGTATACTCCTCATCTCTGAATAAACAGTGCTGTGTTATGGGTTGTTTATTGAGGTGTTGCAGCTGCAGCTCTCTACTTCCCTGCGCCAATCCCCGGAGAACAATGTGAGGATGTGATTATTTTTGATAATCTCAAGGTAAGCTGCCAGACTATGGCAACACTCAGCTGTATAACTCAGAGGAAAACCTCAAACAAGAAACAAAGAGTTTTTTTCCACAATGCTACAGTACTGTATATCCATTTCACTAATATATTGATCATGTGATTTCCAAGATGACTGACTTGGCTGACAACAGAGATGACTGTATCATTATTCATTAGAATCGTGATGTGTGCTTGGTTTGATGTTGAATAAAAATTAGATGAATAAGCTTTAGAAAACAGCTCTTCAGTTTCAGTAGCAACTCCTCTTTACAATGGTTTGAAACTATACTAGGTTCATTAAGCACTCAGGGTGAGTCAGGATGATTTTCTCTACTACATCTAAAGCAGTGATGACATTTTGATTGGAATAAATAGAGGAATGACTGAAAGTCCATTAGAAGAAAATCCAAGGATAGAGACTGAGCACACTGTCTGAGTTAAAAAACGACTTTGCACACACACCACCACTGCCACCTGCCCAGAGGTCAGAGGTCAGGGTCTGCTAGCAACACCCCTGATTTACTGCACTGACCATAGATCAGCCCTGTGCAGCAGCAGCTTTGAGCATTTCTACACTGAAGCTGATTCTTGACTGGTCCGTTTTAGTTATTTCTAGATTGAGTGCAAAAAAAATCCGAGCAGATACATTCAAAGCAAGGTGGCCCCCTGGTGGTGAAAATTATTAATTACATAAATCTTCTCTGCTTTACCTAAATATGACCACTCTAAACCAAAAAGTAAGGTTTTAATGGTTTTAAAATCAAATGCCTAAATGTAGGCCTATCTGCTTTATTTTTGATTCCATCCTTTCATTTGAATCCCATCACCAAGTCTTAAAATACTGCACATAAGAACAATGAAGCAGGTTTTGCTTGCTGTAATCATTCCATCTGTTACTGCTGGGGAAATACACTTATTCACAGTCTTGTCAAGAGTTAGATAAGAAGATTTATACCATTTCTTGTACAGTTATTATGAAGCTAACACTAGCAGTTGGTTAGTTTAGTTCAGCTTAGCATTAAGACTGGAAACAGGCTGGAACGGGTAGCCTTGCTCTGTCCAAAGGTAACAAATTCCACATTACATCACATCTAAAGCTCAACCAATTAACAAAGAAATATCAAGTTAAAAGTGTAGAATGTAAAACCCACAATGTGGAAAACAAATAAGCTGATCTCCCACAAAGTTTAGACCAACAATAAATGAAGGACTCAGTATTACTGGGCTGCTGGTGGCGGCTTTCTATTTCATGGACATGCGAGAGGAATCTCCTCATCCAAGTCTTAACAACAATACAAAAAAAGCATATTTACAAAAATTAATGAATAAAGGAATCAGTATTCATTTAAATGTTATTTATGTTGGGCAATAAGACAGTAATGCTTTATTTAATAGTTAATACTTAATTTCCAAGTAACTTCTAAGAAAAAACAATGTCACCTTGTAGTAATTACAGTGAAAATAGAGAAGACGTTCTGAGATAGTTATTAAAGTTAGAGATTAGTTAGCTAAGTTTATTGGCAGCTGTTCATAATTAAGACTTTCTTGGTTTCAGAGAATATGGGGTGTTCAGGGTATTTCAACTCATTAGATCAAACACTTATGACAAAATATTCTCACGCGGTAATGTCTCAGACTCACCTGAGATGACACACTGTCAGACACAGGTATCAGACAGTGTGTCAGTTTCCACAATGATTCCTTGGGCATTTTGCTTTGTGTCACGGTTATTTTAATGATGATAATGGCTAGACTTTGTGACTCATGAAACCAAGAACAGATTCAAAGTAGTGATCAGCAGTCTGCTTAAATCCAATGAAGTGGGCATCTTTGTACGAAGCGCATTGCATTCACCAAAGAAAAAAAATTATGAGATACAGATCAGTTACAGATAACTGGAAAGGTGCCATATTACTACTGTAAATGGCACCTTTCCAGTTATTTCTAAAATATCGAGATCTTTTATCATAATTACGACATCCTGATCTCATAATTAAGAGATCCTGATGTCATAATTACAAGATCCTCATCTCGTAATTATGACATCTTTTCTCATAATTACGAGATCCTGATCTTATCTCGTTATTATGACATCTTTTCTCGTCATTATGACATCTTATCTCGTCATTATGACATCTTTTCTCGTCATTATGACATCTTATCTCGTCATTATGACATCTTTTCTCGTCATTATGACATCTTTTCTCGTCATTATGACATCTTTTCTCGTAATTACGACATCCTGATCTCATAATTAAGAGATCCTGATGTCATAATTACAAGATCCTCATCTCGTAATTATGACATATTTTCTCGTCATTATGACATCTTATCTCGTAATTATGACATCCTGATCTCGTAATTATGAGATAAGGCTTCCAATTTTTTTTTCTTTGGTGAATGCAAAGCGCTTCCTTACGACGCAGAGCTGCAGTGAAAACGGGGGAAAGACAGACGCATGCTGTGTTTAACTCTGAAGTGCAGTGAGTGGTTAAGGGGAGGGAGACTGATTTAAAACTTAATGACACTTTCAAGAGTGTCATTAAGTGAAACCCCGTAGCTCTGTGTTGGGGCATGTTGACTGGCTTAACACTGGGCTGCTTGCCATCATAGAAACAGATCATCAGACTTTGTCCAGCAACTAACAAATCCTGCAAGACAATTCATTGCCCAAAATTTTTATTGTATGACGGCTTAAGTTGTGCACAAAACAAAACTTAGATGTCAGCATTGCTTGCTGGTGATATTCAAAAAGGTAGTTTGGATGGAGAGAGAAGCCACGAGGTATTAGAAAAATTTATCAAGGTACTACAAGGTACAAGGTAGATTTCACAAGTGAAATTGAGTTTGTAACTCACTGCTTCCACGTAGCAGACAATATACATTAATATATTTGTTTTTCACAAATATATCCATGGATTAAAACCATAATGCGCTACATACACAAATAAACCAGAGACGAACATAAACAGAGTCGCGTCTAATTGTCATCGACCCAGCGACTTTTGGTTATGTCATCAAAACGCGCCGTACAGACAGCTCTTTAAGCGGTAAGTGTTTTGTTGTTTGTAAATTAAGAATATAGCGCTGTTTTATCTAACGTTAATGTCTTCTTTTCTTGGTTCGCGTGTGAAAGATTTAAATAAAAGACTAGTTTCTAGCTAGCTAAGTGTGAAAGAGTCGCGCGCAGCGGTGGCTAAGATTTTGTTGATTCATCTCCATCTGTGTGTTATTAGCACTTAACTGGGCATCAGTTAGCGTGAAGCTGAACAACCTGAGCTGATATAGGAGTTTAATACTAACCTTAGTCCGTGTCGAGTAGTAGTTGTACAACTGCTGGACAAGATTGACGTTTCTTAGTTTTGTTTCTTTCACTTTCGATGAGACCGAGCCGCAGATGACCAAACAGATCTTTAGCTAGTTAATGTTTTAAGCTAGCTGGTTAGCTCCTGTAAACTCCACTGTATTCATAAAGACAATCAGAAGAATTCTGTATTTGTTTTCCACAGTGACAGGGTTTGACTGCAGTCTCCAAAAATGGTGAGTTACCTCCATTGTTGAATGTTGATTTGTTAGATGTGTATAGCTGATTAGCTTCTTAGACTAAACCAAAGTCCAGGCCTGATATAATTGTGGAAGTTTTACAGGTGTTGTATAGAATTTACAAGGCAGGATGTGAGGTGGGTTTTCTATGGCACACATGGGTGAGGAGGCAGATGAGGTGGCAAAGAAATGCATGAAGGAAAAAATGCACTTTAATTTAAAATACGGTCACTTGATTACACAGAAATAATAAATAGGTCAGTAAAATAAATGTGGCTAAATTCAAGGGAGACTGAAAGGAAGGGGAGGACCTATTTTTCAGTACAGAGAATTGTAGAGAAAGAAAAATTCACTTTTAAATGCAAGAGAAGAGATGCAGTAGTTGTATCCAGATTGAGGTTTGGGCTCTATGTTGCTGAGGAGTGGGCTGGCTCTGATTGGTAAACATCCTCCATGGAAAGGGTGAATGTGGCGACAAGGAATCAGTGGAGCATGTACTAGTTCATTGAAAAAAGTACTCTCATCGAAGGAAGAAATTCTTCAGGGACCTGGGAGCAATTGGAGAAACTGTTTATAACCTACGCACTCTACTTAATCTAGATTGCTGGAACAAAATTAAGAAACTCATGGAATACCCACATAATACTGTATTTTTTATATATATATATATATATAGCTCTGTGGTTTGTATTGTGAAGTTAAGTAAATTCCAATGAGCTTGCATCTATTTTCTGTTTCCTTTCAGTCCCGTCGATATGATTCACGAACAACCATTTTCTCACCAGAGGGTAAGAGTTCTTTTAATAATGCAAGTTGTTTACTGTGTTTCTTGCATTTTATTTTAGTTCACACTAATTTTTTTGAAGAATGTTTTGACCACATGTATAACTTTTTACTTGTTAAAGCCATGATCAGGCGTCTTGTTTATTTAAAAATTTCTTGCCCTTTAGTTCTTTGTGCTTGCATCCCTATCTTGACAGGACTGTGTGTCATTCACAGGGCGTCTGTATCAGGTCGAGTATGCCATGGAAGCCATCGGCCACGCTGGCACCTGCCTGGGAATTTTAGCCAATGACGGAGTGCTGCTGGCTGCTGAGCGGAGGAACATTCACAAGCTGCTGGATGAAGTGTTTTTCTCAGAGAAAATCTACAAGCTGAATGAGTGAGTTACTTCTGCTTCAGACTTATTGTCTTATTTGAGTGGCATTGGTTGGCAGTGTGCCAATGTTCATAGTTTACAGATGTACAACTTTAAAAAGGCATTAAATCATTCATGACTTTCATCAACCTAGGGACAGGCATTGGAAATTAGCAGTAGCTATAAATGCTGTGATGCTGTGCATTGGATAATTGTTGTACAATTCTCTATGTTTATAGCATCTGTCTCTATCAAATAAACTTTTATTTAAAACTGCATTTAAAAAAAAAAAAAAAAAGAAATTCAATCGCAATGACACATTTCAACAGCTAGCATTATCTTATGATTGGTATTAACAATGTTTAAATATACAGAGAAAAATCTGCTTTTGCAATGATCCTACATCTTCACATTTCTTTGCAGAGACATGGCGTGCAGCGTGGCAGGAATCACATCAGATGCCAACGTACTGACCAATGAGCTGAGGCTCATAGCCCAGAGGTAAGCTCCGGTCTCGAACACAGCCTTTTTCATTTCTGCTGCAGCCAAATATCCAAATTTGAAAGTGATGGTCTGTGTTGCTGTTACAGGTATCTGTTGCAGTACCAGGAGCCAATCCCCTGCGAGCAGCTGGTCACAGCGTTGTGTGACATCAAACAGGCCTACACCCAATTTGGAGGTACAAAGCAGCACCACACAGTTCGGTCTTAGCAAGAGACAAGTGTTTCATCTGCATGCAGAGTTTACATCCTGATAAAAACAGTTTTGATATAATCTATACGAGGGCCAAATTGTGAGACTTATTTTTCCAGTTGGAGTATTTAGCCTATCTTTGTAATTCATTGTCTAATTCATTGACAGCAACCCACAACCTCTTACATGAAAACTAACTGGTTTGTGAAAATTAATAGGCAGGTTTATTTGCTTAGCTGCAGATCCCTGTCTAGTTAGCTGCCAATTTCTATTTTATTATTATTTTTTGGTTGAGAGACAACCATTTGAAACAATTAATGTGAAAATGTGTATTTCATCAGAAAGCTGTGGGAGGCTCGCGATACCAATTGCTGGGCTTTGGGTATCGGCCGTTGCCGACTACCGATCCAATACCAGTGATGAATAAATGAATCAGCTGTGTTCCTCGCTGTGAGGACTGGGAATCTTGGCCTTTGGCATGATGCTTCTGGAGGTGCTTGATTAAGTGCTACCGGCACCCACTGAAGCATTGGCTTGCAGATATTGGAAGTAGTGAAGCTTGAAATGCCTCCAAACTGCTAACCCCATGTTTTTAGCTCCCTCCATGCTCTATTAGTTCTCAATGCAAACAGTTCGCCTCGACCAGTGTACTGCTGATGCATTGCATAGTACGTGCATAATTTAAATGAATAAATTGGCCCTTGTCTGTAGCTGCCGTCACACTGCCTTATTTTTGGGATTATTATAATAATAATAATAATAATAATCCTTATTTGTAGAGCACTTTTCAAAAACAAGTTACAAAAAAAACAACAAGATAAGAGCATGAAAAATTAATATAAAATTAGTAAAATACAATAAAATAAAAGGGATAAAATAAAGTCAAATAAGATCGGGAAAGGCTCTCCTATAAAAGTATGTTTTAAGAAGGGACTTAAAAGAGTTCACTGACTCAGCCGACCTGATTTCCTCGGGCAGGCTGTTCCAGAGCCTCGGGGCCCTGACAGCAAACGCTCTGTCCCTTTAGTTTTCAGTCGAGACTCTGGAACAGACAACAGACCTCTGCCCGAGGATCTATTACGGCCATATGCCGGCTCGCTGCGCTGTATGGAGGTATGGAGCCGGAAAGGGGGGTCAGATTTGATCCGGCTCTGAGTCAGGAATATTGGTAGTAACAGAGGTGGAACAATGTGTGTGCAACAACCGGTATGTCGGGACAGTTGTGGCGTTTCTGTTGTGTTACAGGTCACGGCCCTATATTTTTTTTTATTTTTATTTTTTCTCCACTGTCTAACCCAGAAAGCTAGATAGCTGTGTAAAATAACACATATTTGCGGGATTATGCCGCAATGTTGTGTTCAGTACGAATGAGCTAATGCGGCATATTGGCAGACATTCTTTCCACGTTTATTGGGGCATCTGTGTGTGAAAGCAGCTACTGATTCCAGATCCAGCTGTCAGTATCAGGCCAATATCCAAATTGGATGGGTGCATCCCTAGTTCTAAAACAATCAGGTTACCTGAATGTTTATACATAAATGATTACCGTCTTCTGTACACTACATCTGAAATGGCCTAAAGAAACTGATGTCACCAAACAAAATCAACTAATGTAATGTGAAAGTGTCGTCATATTAGCATAAAAAGTTACAGAATTATCACAAATTACAAAAGTTTTAAGGTTCAAAAAAGTTAGAAACACCAGAGACACTTAAGCTAGATGAGTATTTTGAAGTCACTATATGTGTGTCTGTTCTCGCAGGTAAGCGCCCCTTTGGAGTCTCGCTGCTCTACATGGGTTGGGATAAACACTACGGCTTCCAGCTCTACCAGAGCGACCCCAGTGGGAACTACGGAGGCTGGAAGGCCACTTGCATCGGAAACAACAGTGCTGTAAGTCTCTCAGGAGTGCTTCAAAGCTCTTGTCCAAGAATTATTATATAAAATAGGTTGAATTATAAAGTGTGTGGAATCTGAATATTTGGATTTGAACGCTGTGTCGATGTGTTCATACAAAAGTCAGGGAATTATAAAACTGCTATTCCACACATTGACACTGGAGGTCGCAGCTGCACCGAGTTTTTAAACACAGTGGCCATGAAAAGACTGGGCGCGCACAATAAACAGACATTCTGTGGCCTACTTAGTGCTGACTCTTGAGGCAGCTAATTGTGTAAGTCCTGATTCATGGTGGCTTTGCTAATCTCAGAGCATTGTGTAATCACTTTTGTCAAAGAGGTACCCTGAGTGCATGCTGGATTAGTTTGGGTGTCTCCAGTGAGCAAACACACACCTGATCCTGACAGTGTTAGTGTTGTGCTCCATGACGTGAGCTGTGCAGGAGGAGATATGAGAATTGGCAGCTGGTAATAGTCTGAGAGAAGAGGATAAACTGAGGTGACAATGCAGTCTTCATATTTGAAAACAGATGGGAAGACCGTTTGCACATTTTCTTAAGTCAATTTGCAGCACTGACAAGAAGATTGTTGTTTTGGGACTTAGTTTGTGATTAAATAAATTTTTACTTTGTCCCTCTTTGTTTCCTTTTCTCACTCCTAGGCAGCTGTCTCCATGCTGAAGCAGGACTTCAAGGAGGGGGAGATGACACTTTCCTCAGCGCTTGCTCTTGCCATTAAAGTTCTTAATAAAACCATGGACGTCAGCAAGCTGTCTGCAGAGAAAGGTGCAGATTTGAGTAGTTGGTGCTGTACAGATATTGGCCATTTTCAAGAATGAGACTTGATCTGGCAGTCTCGTTGAGATAGAGATGTCTTTTCCAAGACAGACCCGACAACAAAACAACATTTACAGTCGTGCAACCAGCATACAGAAACAGTATATATAGTCAGACAGCCAACAATCAAGCAGCAAAAAGAACCAACAATAAATATTTTAATTTTAACAATAGGTCAAATACTGTGTGATGTTAAAGGGGTGGCTTATAGAGACACACCCACAGAGAAATGTCACAGACTCCCTTATCTTAGTGTCTTTCAAGTAATTGTTTTGGATTTACAGCCCACAACTTTACTGTTTGGTTCACTTACCAAATAGCAGACAGACACAGTTAGTGATTAGCTGTCACAGGTGGGTCACCATTTTCAAAAAGAAAAGAAATCTTGTTGTTCTTGACTATCAAATAGTGTTTTTGCTTGAAATGCCCGTCCATAGCAGCTGGCGAACATAGTGGAGCAGTTAGCAGCTAAAGAGCCAGATATTTCTCTGAGTTCAATGTGGCTTCATTTGTTTACCTTTTTAAAAAGACATGATATGTGGGCAAGTCTACACAATAGACAGTGAGAGTCAACAGATGATTATACCTGGTCATCTTGTTTTGTGGCAGGTCTGATGATCACTGTACAGTAACCTGCTTCCAACATGTTCCAAAAATCTTAACAATGACACCCCATCTAACTGAAATATGCAAATATGAAGTGTACATAATCACTTTTTGCATTTTCTTCTTGCAATATGAAACATCACAATAAAAGCACAGTTTTTAAGGGTTTAAACTGATGTAGTAAAGGGCGCAGCAGCTGGTTCCTTACAGTCTGTGTCTGTCGTTTCAGTGGAGATCGCCACTCTGACCCGCGAGAACGGGAAGACCTGCATCAAAGTGCTGAAGCTGAAGGAAGTCGAGGAGCTGATCAAGAAGCACGAAGTGGAGGAGGCCAAAGCTGAGAAAGACAAGAAAGACAAGGAACAGAAGGAGAAGGACAAGTAGTGTCGCTGTTTTGTGTGTGTGAGGAAAAATGTGAGCTTGTGAGTGTGGATGTAAAAGTCTTCAGGTGTGTTTCATTTGTGCTGTTTGTTAAAATAAATCCAAATGATGAACTATTGACTATGGGTTTCTTATTTAGTAAACTGTCAAAACGCTCTATTCATGGTCAAAACAAATATTATTGTACACTTGTCAGTTGTGAAGTGAGTGAACTAAATAACACCAAGTAGTTAAAAGACAATCTTTATTAATGATCCTTTTTAATCCACTTCTCTTACTCATCCCTTCCCTAACTTTAATGATTTATGCGGATTTACAGTTGAATCTATATGGGATTATAGCTAAACGTGTGTGCTCAGTCTGTTCTCGGACAGAGCAGATGCTCTTAATGTATTCTGCATGAATTGTGTAATGCATACTTTAAACTGTTATGAAATAGGAGATCTCCTGTCTGGGTATATTTATTCTACCTACAGAGATTCACTAAGTGTCAAAATAAGGTTATTGTTCACTCCCTCTACACATGTGTGAAGATTCTATAGGTTACTTCTACATAGAGGTTGTCAGTCTGTCTGTAATGAAACAAAATGAAGATAATCTCAATCTTTGGTTACCTAACAAATCTTAGGAAGTTTCCAATTGCCACAAGTAGCCAAATAAATCAGTTTGTGCAGGTTTAAAGACTATCTACATGGAGGTTCAATGTTGCCTCTTTACAGTTGATGAAGCAATCTCACGTCCAGGTCCATTTAGTGGCTGTTCTGGAGCTTTCAATCATATAACATGATCTCTATCAGCAGGTGGATGTTGCCATGGTTTAGATTTCCCTGATCAAAAGCTCCAGAACAGCCATTAAATCTAACAAATCGGTTAAATATGAACTCAGTTCACATGGACAAGCCTAAGGAGGATGATAAAGCACAGACAATGGAGTTGTGATAAACTCAGTGTCTTTACGCTTATTGTATACACAGGCATAGCCACCATCACTGTTTTGTTTTTTTCATGATAATCGTCATAGAAATGTCAGTGTCGTTTATCATCACTTCTGGCTTTTGTCTCATCATTGCCATTGTACACAGATATACAACCTAAAAGATCATCTGTAAGATACATGTACCTTCGCAGAGAGCTGTACTTTATAACCTCACTCAATTATCAATACTCAATTATTATATATAAGTTCATTTTGACCTTGGAAACTGCAGTTAATGGTAACTTATTAATTCAACCACAAGGGCCATTTAGTAGCTGTTCTGGGACTATCCATCACATCACATGATCATTGCAACTTTTAACCCAACATAAGTGAATGAGAAGCCCTTGAAGTTCTCTGAAATAAGGGAAATTTTAATAAAAGGCCCATCTGCTTATGAAGATTATGTGATATTATCCTAAGATCCCAAAAATAGCTACTAAATGGACCTTATGGTTAGATTATTTTGTTGACTGTTATAACCAAGGACAAGAATAAACTTTAAATCTCAAATGTTAACATGGACAAGAGGTCCTTGAAATGCTCCGGAAAATTGTATTCGGTGACAACTGGGCCGACTCCATCTCCTGATGAAGATCATGTTATATGAGTGAAAGCTGCTGAACAGCTCCTAAATATTGTCAGATTATTTTGTCAACTGCTGTTTCTGAGGTCAAGAATAAACTTTAAATTTTTTACTTTTATGGCAATATTTATGACAAATTTTTTAAACTGCTCAGAGAGGGGAAAAATCCTCTGCTGATGCAGATAATGTGACACGATCCAAAACAGCTACTAAATGGACCTTGTGGACACCGTGAGATAATACAGAGTATAAAACGCAGAAAAGTAGGTTTTCATTCAAGCACATTCCGTTTGATCTGAGCTTCAGTGAGGTCTGCCGCATTGTAAGTCTTTAGAGGGGATTAGCTACTGACCGGCCGGTTTTAACTCTGCTTAACAGTTGCTGGAAACTGAGACCGTGAGGACTAACATATGTGGTTTCTGAGAAATGCCATGCTGTGAGTGCAGCTGATGCGGTAACCGCTCATCAGCCTCAATCTGAGGTGCGTTTATATAAAGTCAACACAAGATTAAGGCCAGGAGGGAACAATCCGCATCTTGTATTTTAGTCCAGGAGATTAATGACAGTGTGAATGCCTGACTTCAGATGTCACTGCTGGTGGTGGAAGGAAGCAGGAGCACTTGTCTCCAACAGCATTCAGAAAGGTGAATTTATTTTTCAGGATCCCTAGCGGTGAAATATCAACACTAAGAGGGAATTTCCCAGACTGTGTAGAATTAAATTTGTGGCTTTGGAGGTGCTGCCACCACAGCTGCCACTGCCCTGAGGTGCATAACACAGCAACACTGGATGAAATATAAAAGAGATATATAGTATTTTAGAAAACACATTGAGTAGAAAATGCAACTGAACTGAAAACCCAACATTTCAGACAACAAAGACAGTTTTAACCACTAGCAGCTCTATGGACCATTGTTTTGCATTGTATGAGTGGGTTCCTGTTTTGCTTGCACTGAGTGCATGTACGCTGGTGATGAGATACACATTGCTGCGGCTGGTTTCATGCTATCCTGATGACCCACAGTGGTGATGGCAACACACAAAGTGGCGTTTGTTACACAATATGGTCATAAACTGTGAATGTAAACATAACTTTTGTTTCTTTACAAGAAAACTCCACAGAGCCCCTTTAATGTTGTGTTAATGCACCTTAGGGCCACTGTTACTGCATGTCTGAACACAGACTGGGTGACCCTTTCTCCTTCAGCAGGAGACAACAAAGGTTTTATAACAGGTTGCTGCTATATTAGCGATGCCGATATATAGCACAGTTGAGTCTATCCTGGCCCAGCACTGAAAATAGATCTCTAGATCAACTAACTTGGGTGAGCTGTGAGCTGAGCTGGTTGGAGATTAGCGCCTGAGTCAGCAATCGTCTGAAACAGAGCTTCCCACATCTACTGTTCCTGAAAAACACACTTTCATTTCCTGCCTCATCATTGTCACTTTTAAAATCTCACATCAGCCATCGGCCCAGTTGGCTGCCATGGCATCCTGCTTGTATAATTGTAGTTATTTTAAGGTCTCCATTATGGTTTCCCAGTTTTAAAACATGGCTATATATCATGCTTATTTCAGAAGCAAATGAGTAAAAAGTTGTTGTACTCAAAAACAGCAACAAGAAAACGTGATAACTATACACACCCTAAATCCAAATCTATCAAGAGGGGGAAAAAAACAACAGAAAACACCAGTTTAGATAACAAGTTTTATTGTTTTTTACCCAAGGCAAAAATTTCCAGAGTATACAAGTGTGGATTGTCATTGAATGGTTTGCTTACTATGTCACTGAGAACAAAAACTAAATCCCTAAGCTATCACAGTAAACATTTGAGAAATATACATACATAAAAATATACCTCTGAGAAAATTCATATATTGACATTTCCTAACAGCTTATAGTCACGGCTCAATCAGTAGCAACGAAAGACTCGTATGATCTGAACACATGCAGAAGAAAAAGGCCCCCACCCCATCCCGACACCAACATGGAAGAGACTACTATCATGTTTCTGCGAGGTGTTGCAGGTAGTATGGCTGGCATGGGGAATGTAGGTTAATATTGCTTTACATACCATACTAGGTTTATAAGGAGCTGAATTTTGAAAAGCAAGATTATTTCAATTATCATGTTACAGACAGAATGGATTCTTTGGCGTTTTGTTCAGAGTAAGTCACAAAACTAGAAAAAAAAAAAAAAAAACCTGCACAGGATGCCGCCTGCGTTTTTACTAAATTGCATATACGGTAATCGCCTGAACTGCTCCTGTCGTACCCCTACATTGAGCTCTTTTCCTCATATAGCACAGGTCTGAATCTGCATGGGATGAAATATGAAAAGTGGACACATTCTTCAATAAGACTCAAGAGTAAAAAATATTAACATTGCACTCTCCTCTTTAGGCACAAAAAGCCTTGTTTCAACTGGTGCGGGACAGTACTACTAATGATGCTACAGGCCGAATGAAGCCTCACTAGCCCCGCTTGTGCCGCTCATGTATTACCATTATTCCACTTATTATTCCATTTTATATTTTCATACAAAATAACCTGTTTGTGTGGTACAGAACAAGCAAGGACATAATGCAATTTCTGGCAACATGGATAGGAAAAATCTTTATCATGAGACAGACACAACATTAAGTCTAAACAACCTTCTGGGTTAGGGTTAGTCACAAAAAAAAAAAAAAAAAAACAGATGCATGCATGAGAGGCACAAACTGGGGCTAAAACGTCACTAGAGTCAAATGTCATGTGTACATTTTAATGCAAAGTAACAGTAAGTGGAGCTTCTCTTTAAACCTGTCCATCTTACACCAACAATTATTCAGCTTATGATCTTTGTTTCTGCGTGAGACGTACAAAACGAAACAACAGTGAGGCCGTCCTCTCTAGCCTGTCAATAACTCACACCGTCAGCTTGACACGCTGATTATTACGCAGAGGAGGAGAGAAGGTGTTTGCCTCAGCGAGCTGACAGCTTCCCTGCTGCGATTCAACATGCAGGCTGATTCTTAGTTTTGACACGTCAGGAGAGACTAATACTAAAATTCCACTTTTGTGGCTAGATTGTTTTGGGCAGATGAGAGCTAAAAAATTAAAAACCCCAGAGTAAGTGACGTGCTGGAATGATGTCTTAACATGTATCAGGAAGAAGTGTAAAGAAATGTTTACATGTGCTTTAATGTTAAATGTAACACAGCAGGCTTCCACCCATCTATATTAGAAAGCAAAACAACATTTTATTGATCATATCATACCCATAATTCCCTCTTTTTACCCCTAACACCGCTTGTATGGTATACAGCACACAAAGACAAACCAAAGTCTTTTTCCTTATAAGAGGTCAAAGCTGTCAGGAGATATGCTAAATTTTAATGTAAAAAAACCATCTCCTTCTCCTGATTGTCTCGTTGATGGCAGCACAAACAAATAATGTGGCCAAGAGACAAATACATAAGCAGGAAAAATACAAAAAAAGCCAAAATCCAACGATGCATGTGATGAGTTGGTTTGCCACTCCCCGTTTCTCCAATCTGCAGTTATCCTCTAGGAAGG